ATTGGCCAAGCTTTCTCCCCATTTCAAGCCAATTTCCTCCCCCGCCCCCTCACCCCCTTCATCATGGCTTGGAGTCTGAGCCTGGGGTGAGAGAAAAACCAGGCTGGGTGAAGGGTGTGTGCAAAGGCGGCCATGTGGTACAAAACCCTGGCACCAGGAGATGTGTGAGCTGGACCAGGGCAGGGGAGGGAGCCAGGCTAAAGGCCAGCTTCACCTCCAGGGCTGGGCAGAAGGTCCAAGTGCAGGCCCAGGCCGGCAGCCAGATGTACTTTCCCCAAGGCGGGGGGCATGTCTTCCAAGGTCCTCCCTGCTCCTAAGGTGACTAGGAGCAGGGGCAGTGCGAGTGGCCTGTCACAACGCCAGAGGCGTCTAGTGGGGAGTCTGCCGGCCGTTAATCTCAGTCTGTGGCTCCTGCTGCAAAAGAGCGACAGTAATAGGGCTGCTGGGAGAACTGGGGTGCCCTGCATGGACCTTGTCAGGGGTGTACACCCCGATTTTAAGAACGGGAGATGGGGGTGGGGTGGTGATTTGATTGGGTTCCAAGCCAAGTGGTGCACTTGGAACAAGGACAGGCCTGGCATCTGGCCAGTCCTTAGGCCGTGGGAAATAAATCTCTGCAGGGCAGTGCAGGCCCACCTTTTGTTCGGTGAACATACTCCTCCTCAGAAAGGAGGGCACTGCTGCTAGAGACCATTCCCCTCCAGCCCCACCCCTCCCTGTGCTCACTTTGGACCTCTGAGCTCTCTTGGGTTTCTGTCCTGGCCCCTGTGTGGGGTGCCCACTGCCAACGCACAGTAGGTCCACATATTCGGTGTTGCATTGTTGTTCAGGTGAAGGCCCTGTGCAGGCATTCACCCTGAGGGCCTTCTTGAACCTCACTGTGCTGTGAGCTTTCGAGTCAGGCTCCTGGGAGTCTAGCTGGAAAGACAGCAATTACTCCAGCACTGTTAGGTGTCTGAGTGAGATAAGACATGGAGACCATTACAAAGTTGGTGAGCTGGTCAGTAGGTGTCCCTCACATGGACACGGAGCACCCTTTACTGCTAATATTGTCTCCTTCGTTCTTAGAATAACCCTGAGGGAAACTATTCCCACTGAACAGATGAGGAAACAGGCTGATAATTGATCATCCTGCACAGATTATTACTGGGACAGCTCCTTAGGTAGATGGGTGAGGTGGCGGTTGCGCCAGACTATGGAGGATGGGAAAAGATTGGGAAGGGACCTTTGGGAGAGACTAAATCAAGTGTGTGCAGCCACAGGCAGATTTCTAAGGGTATCTGATGGGCTTCTTGGGCCAAGCTTGGTTAATTGCTTCTCTCTACTGTCTGTCTGCGGGGCAGTGGAGAGCTATTCACGTATCTACATTGTAACAAGCGACAGGCCACAAAGTATCCACTGTTAGAAGAACAGAAAAACGCGTCTAAAATAGGGGTGGGGTGGGCTGTGTAAAAGATGCAAGAAAGACTCCTTGGGGGTGGGCTGGGGGTGCTTTTCCAGAAGGAAGTGGAGTGACGGCAATCACAAGAGAAGTTGCGAAAGGAGTGTGTGCTAAGAGTACATGTGTTTACACAAAAAAAGCACCAGGCGGAAAGTTGAGCTGAGAGCTGCTTCAGCCCACGCTAGTTAAGTCTTGATGCTGACTAAAGGCCTGCAGTGTGAACCCATCGGCTCCCTCCTCACTCCCGGAAGAAACTGTAGCCGTCTGCTTCTATACTGCCTTGCAGGGTGACACCAAGTCACTGGAAACGGGTTTGCAATTAGGTTTTGAGTCCCTTGCCCCAGGGTGGTGAGCTGGATACTTGGCATGACTGCCAACTATGTTCCTACCCAGAGACCCCGGAGAAGAGGGTCTTGACAGTCGGCATCCAAAAGGCCACCCACAGACACGGGCGTTGGGCTGGCAGTGACCGCTGGCTTGGTCGCGTGCCCTCAGTGCAGAGTGCTCCTTTACCCTTTCTGGGGAAGGTTGACGCCCGAACCCTTGGCTCAGTCTGGACTGTAGTCCCCCTCTGGGCCAGAGCTCTGTTAGGAACCCTGTCGGAGTGACCACGGTGGGGCATCTGTTCCAGGCACATCTTCAGATGGCCCCCCACTGAGGCTGCTGTTGCCAGCTCCCACCTCCTGGGCTCAGTTGGTTCTCCTTCCCTTCGTGGCTTTGGTCTCCCAGGCCCCGGGCACAGTGGGCCTCATTAGACCCCGGCAAGTCACATGTCCTCCCCCAGGGTGAGGACACTGGCCCTTGTCAGGGACTGGGCTGGAGGTGGAAGGAACAGCCTTCACAAAGGGCTCCTTGTTGAAGCGGCAGTGCCCATGGTGGCCGGAGCTCCGCGGGGTCATCTCTGCGTGCTGAGGGACAGTGGAAGTGGTCCTGGGCAGGCTGGAGATGCACCAGTGACACCTGAAGCCTTGTGGGTGGGCTGGTGACTTGCACGGCCTACACTGTGGCCCCAGCTGGGTGCCAACCAGGATACTGCCTGGATCCCTTCACAGCTTGGTGCCAGGCCCTGCTTCCAACTGCAGGAGGGAGTCGGCTGTAGCCCACAGCCCCGCTCTGTGCATTCCTGCACAGTGGGCTTCATGCAGGCCTGGCCGGTGGGCACCTGGAGAGCCAGGCGCTAGCCCTGGCTCTGCTTCGAGAAGCCGTGGCCTTGTCTTTCCAGGGCCTCAGTTTCCCCATCTTTAAAGGAGAGGCACCTAAATAGATGGTTTTCAAGCAGGATCAGGAGTAGGGCTTGGGGCACAGTGAGCAGGCTCTGGGGTCACACCCTGGCATCCAGAGCAAGGGGCAGAAGTATGGGCCCCTCCTGCTACCCAGCTCTGACATTGGAGTGGACATGGGCTGCGGGTCCTGTCGGGTCTACGGCCACCATGGACCTGCTGCTTCACTCCGGCCGGCTTGGGGTCCCTGACTCCTGCTCCAGCCCAGGTCAGATGAGGCCAGAGTAGAACCATTGGGGCTGCCTGCTGTTTCCAACTCCATGTGGAGACACTGTCAGCCCTGGAATGGCCCCCAAACTCTGAGAGCTTGGTGGTCAGTGTTTCTGGAAGCTTCCTGGGAATGCAGTGCCCTGCAGCCTCTGTCTCAACTCTTGACTGTCGGACTTCGCCCCTGCTGGGGAACACCTGTCACCGCAAACTCGGAACTCCCTGATTGCCACAGACGATAGCCGCCTGCCTGGTGCTCGGGTCGGTGCTGTGTCCTCAGCAGGGTGGGGTGCGGGACTGGTGGGGCCTCCTGCGCGGAAGTCGGTTGCATTCATGGCCCAGATGCAATCTTCCAGGGCTGCACAAGTGGGCGCGAGGTGTGGACATCAGAGGACTTGCACCCAAGAGCTTCTCTTCTGACACAACAGGTTAAACTGGAGAGTTGCCGCGGCTTTTGAACATGTCAGCTGCATGCACACCACCCGGTGCTCAAATCACATGATGTCTCTCAGCGAACTCACCACACTGTCACCAAGCTCCAGACACTGGAAAACAAAACAATGCCACCCCGTGCTCCACGCAGTGGGTTGAGCGGTGGGTTTTCTGAGGTGCCTCTGTGAGCCAAACCACCAGCCTGCCACTGGGCATCTCAGCATATCCATGGTCTTGACAGGACGGCACTGCACTTGGTGGGGTCATGCGTTCCTGCTGCCCACGCAGCTCGCCATCCCCACCCCACCAGCAGCACTCCCCGTCGGTGCATCTGCAGAAGGAGGTCTTTTGCATCGAGCTCGTGGGATTTAGCACAGCGTTCTTCTGGGGCCCTTCAGTCTGCTGTGGTGGGAAGCGACACTGTCCTGCCGTGTGTCCCCCCGCCACTTGTTCAAGGCGCCCTGCTTCTGCCCTGACCCCGCTGCTCACGGCCTGTCAGGCCCGCTCCCTTCCTTAAAAGGGCACAGTCTGGCATGGGTAAGCGCCCGTATCGTCTGAGCCGCCGCTGCCTCCATAGGCTGAGGCAGGTGCAGAGAGGTTGACTTGTGGGGTTCCCTCCTTGGTTTGTGGGTGTGCACCCGGCCAGACTGGGGTGGTGCTGGGGCCTGAGCCACGGCAGAGAGAGCTCACAGCCCCTGTCTTTTGGGAGTTGGGGTGGGTGATACTCACCACGGACTGCCAGGTGGCGGTGGGGAGGAGCTGTTTGAGGCTGTGTGGTCGGGCCTGGGAGGAATAGTTGCATGCGGCATCTGGAAGGGGCCTGGGTGGCTCAGTGCAGACCCACCAACCACTCCAAGGGAGAAAGATGAGACTCCCTTCTCCTACCAAGAACGGCAGCCTCTGAGACCCAGAGCCCTGCCCTGGGCCAAGTGGGACACATCACTGGGCACCCGCACTGGGCACGCACTGGCAATGTCAGTGTCTTCAACAGACAGCACAGGTGAACGTCGGTCTTTCGACTGGAACTGCGCACGCAGAAGGAGCACTGGAGCGTGGTGGGGTCTGCCTGGGGCTGCTAACCACAAAGCCAGAGGTTCACCCTCCAGCTGTTCAAGCCTCCCGTGAAGAGTTACAGCCTTGGAAACCCAGAGGAGTTCCGCCCTGACTCCCAGGGCCTCTGCATCAAAACCCGCGCCAGTGAGCATATGCCAGTGAAACCACGAGGCTTGGAGAAGCATGGTTGTCAGGAACTTCGGTAACTGGTCGGTGCTCAGACCCACCGCCACCAACTGCAGGCTTCCAGCTCACAGCGATCCTGGAGGGCAGGGCGGAGCTGCCCCTGTGGGTTTCCAAGACTCACTCTTTCCAAGAGTTGAAAGCCCCGTCTTTCCCATATGTCTCTCACTCAGTGGCTGGTGGTTTCAAACTGCTGACCTGGCAGTGAGCAGCCCAGCCACCGGGGCTCCTAGAACTCAGTCCACAAGCCAGTCAGCTAGAGCTTCAGCCTAGTCAGTTTCCTGGTATGTGTTTGTTGTGATAACTGCAGGGACAATGTTATTTGGAAACATCTCTGCCAGCGGGGCTGCACAACAGCTCTGTGGAGAGCTGCTTTCCTGTCATCGTCTGACAGTGTCGCCCGCATGTCTACACCCTGCGAGTGCTGCCGCAGGAAGAGCCCTTTCCGCTCCAAAGCCGCTGCCTTGTGTCCTCCCTCCTCCCCGGTGGTCTTGGAGGAGGTCGCAGTCTCGGCTGTAGGTGGGGAGGTGCAGCAGGTGCCCCAGGGTCCGGGTGACCCAGGCACTTGTCTGCATCATCTCACTGGCCCCTAGGCACCCCTGCACAGGGGGGAACCTGAGGACCCACACTCAGGAGTAAACAGCCCATCTCCCACCTGGAGCTCTGTGTAGAGGGCAGCCTCAGCCCCTTCTCCCGGCACTGAGGGCCCTTGTTGTGTGTTCCGGGCTGTGGAGAGGGAGGTGGGAGCGTGGCCGCCGGAGGGAGCAGCCTCGCATGCAGGCTCATGCCTCGCGGGCCTAGGCAGCGCCAACCTCAGCCAGTTTTTCTACTTTGCAGCTTCTGGACTCTGTCCAGGGCTGACCTTGCCCTCCCCGGGCTGGGCCCACCTCTGCCTCAAGTGCTGCTCCCCCATTTCTCGGATACCCCTGAGTGGGGATAAGGGACAGGTGGAGCAATTTGTCCTCTGCTCCTGGGAGCAGTGGCTCATGAAACAGGGTGACTGCTGATGCTGGTCTCGGGGTCAGGTGTTGACCGGGTTGTCAGGTCGATGAAGCACGCCCTGGCAACAAGGGTTTGGGGTGCTGCCGTCAGAACTGAGGTTCTTGTTGACCTTTCCTCACCTCCCTCTTTCAGGTGTAGTGTGCCCCCATGACCAGGAGTCCGTAGACACGGCTAAGTATGTGCAGACTGTGTGCCGAAAGTGTGAGGACTAACCCAGCATGGACCGCTTTCTGGATTTCTCTAACGTGTCCTGTAGCAGGGCGGAACTCGCTCTGACCCAGCTGGGCAGTGGGCAGTGCGCGGGGGTGGGGGTGGGGGTAGGCTCCAGATGGGCTGCATGTGCCCTGGGTTGGCATTGGCTGTGTGACCCTGTGAAGGCCCTGGAGGAGACTAGGTCAGAGGGTGAGCTTGGGTGCATGTGTCCCAAAGCCGACGTTTCCCCTAACTGGACCAGCAGGCTGCATTCCCGGGACAGGAGCCAGACTGATCTCCTAAAGGGGTCTCTCACGAGGTGCCGCTCTTTTCTGTCATTCTGTACCCGATGGTGTGTTTCTAGACTAAGATGCTGACCGCCCACCCCCTCAGCCCCTGTCCTGTCCGCAGATAGCGGGGATTGTGATTTTCACTCAGTGGTTGCCTGTGGAAGGTGACCTTGTTTGCCCCACTTTTTAAATTCTGCACATAGCTCCCGAGTGCCAGCGTGCTGCAGGCGCCATGTTGAGTCCGCCCGGAGTCATGGTCCTTCTGCAAGTCTCGGCCCTTGTGCTCCGGCCCTAAGTCACCGGTGCTGTGCAGGAGAGGGCGGGGGCCTGCCCTTGACTCTTAGACTCCTGGGGGCTTCCTTGCCCTGTCCAGCCCTGAGACGCTCAGTCTGGGCACCCGGAGGAGGGTGTCACAGTCCCAGGCACCTACCAACCGGCCCAGGTCCCAAGCCTCTAGCAGTGGCAGCCTGAGAACCCTGCGGCCCCTCGGGCCGTGTGGCTCTGAGAAGGCAGCAGCTCCCTGTGGGCCGCAGCCCTGACACTCCGTCTTCTCTCCGGCTCAGCCACCCCACGTCCTGCTGCAGCGCTGCCGAGATCATGTCCGTGCTGTTCTTCCACACCATGCGCTACAAGGCCCAGGACCCCCGAAACCCCCACAACGACCGCTTTGTGCTCTCCAAGGTAGGCCCCTCCCTCGCCCCACGCAGGTCTGTGGGAATGGCTGGCTGTGAGTTTGGTCCGAGCTTGGGGTTGGCAGCCAAGATTCCAGGTGGGACACAGTCCTGTGACTTCCTGCCTGCAGTGTCTCACTGAGAGGTCAACCCTGGAAGTCCAGGGCAGTGAGACCACAGCCGCTGTCCCTGCTGCAGGTCTCCAGGCACAGCTGGTGTCTGCTTGCTCCAAGACCTAGCCCTGTGGCCTCAGGGCTCTCGGGGCAAACAGTAAAGCTTCAGAGGTCTGGCCAAGCCACATGCCAGAGGCCAGGATTAGGCCGCCCGCCCGCCCACCAGCTGTGGCTTTGGCCTTCCCCTGCAGCCCAGCTGTGGGCCACCCGTCCCGCCCCCCACACCTCTTCTCAGAGCTGCTGGCCATGGCTACGGGAACTTCTGGCTGAAAACCAAGAGGCTTTAATTTGATTTCTGCATGTACTAGACATCCTGGCTGGGCAGCTCCGCTAGGCGGAAGCAGTGCCACCATTTCTGCTGAACATCCCTCCCTCTGCCCCCTGCAGGGCCATGCTGCTCCCATCTTGTATGCCGTCTGGGCGGAAGCTGGCTTCCTGCCAGAGGCGGAACTGCTGAACCTGCGGAAGATCAGCTCCGACCTGGATGGGCACCCCGTCCCGGTGAGTGCCCCCCACCAAGGGCCTCGTGGGCTCTGTCACCACTTCCTGTTTCTCAAAGTGGGGTGGGGGAAACCCACTGGGAAGCTGGAGATGTTGAAAGTTGAGGGGAGGAGGGGGGTGGGGGGGGAGGAAAGGCGTGTGTCCAGGTCACCCTGAATTTGCCCTAAGCTGGGGCAGAAGGAGGAAGTCTCACAGCCCCCGGCTGCCCCCCTTGTCCCCCCTCCCCCTGACGAGCTCAGGAGGTGCCCACACGGGGTGTAGCAGGAGGCCAGTGATGCCCCGGGAACCAGGCCTCTGGTTCTCCTTGGGAGGGGAGTGTACTTGCAGATGTCTTGACTTCTGGACCACAAGGAAAGCCGTCTCACAGCGCGCACACACACAAACACACACACACACACACACACACACACACCATGTTCTTGTACTGAATTCACACATACACACCATGGTCTTGTACAGAATTCACGCATACACACCATAGTCTTGTACA